CTCTCCAGTTTTTACAAATAGGTTTGTCTAATTTTTTATCAACATGTAACTTTTTCACTCAAAGTGTTACCAACAACTCCAAAGCTTCTCAAATTTGAATGCAGTTTCCATTTCAACTTCTTTATAGTTTATACGCTTTAATTTTTTCGACAGCAAAACAGATGCAAGAGAATATTTTTAGTTTCTACAAATTGACAATGCTATTGATTATAAAGAGGTAGAACAGTGCGCACCAGCCCACTTGTAGTAGAGGTGTATCCATCTATCTAATTATAGCCATGTAATTGAGCATTTGGTCTTTTTTTCTAAGGGTCCATGGGTTGACATATTGTATACAGTAAATAACACAAGTTTTGTTCTCAATCAAACTACCGCATCATGAAATGGTAAAAGAAAGTTGTTGAATTAAAAAATTAGATCACTAAATGTAAACAACTCTCCTAGATAAACAAACTTCGCAGCAAAACTGGTCCTACCTTTATTTTCATAAAAACTGGTGCGTCATCTTTAAACGGATGCCTGGTCCTTTCATTGTTGCGCGACTTGATTTCGCACGAACTTACTGAATTGCCTTCGTGGTTCGTGAAAAATAGTATTGAATTGAAACTAAGGAAGCTTTTGAATAAATATCTAAAGAAAATCATCAAAGTAAATGCTAAAGTAAAAGGAGAGAAAAAGACATTATTATAAAACACTAAATAAGGGCATATAATAAATATATTTATAAAAGTTCAGCTATTCCTACTGATCTTAGAAGAATTTTTTAAAGTAAAATAAAACATAATTTGATAACAATATGTCATTGGTTTAAAAAATATACAACTTCTATACAAAACACCAATAAATAAAACAAAACAAAAATAACTTACAAGACATTAATTATTATAGAAAAAAATTCATCTTCCTCGTCTCTATCGTAGCAATAATTGACCTTTTGCGGTCATAATCAACCTTTCAAAAAACACACGGCAAACTCTACAACAAAAATATCTTCTTCAGCCAATTAGCGACATCTATGAAACGCAAACTAAGCTAACCTCCCTATGGAAAAGGTATAAAATGTGTGGTGCGTCAAAAAATTGTACACCAAATTAAAAAATTTTGTTTAGAAATTGTTTTTTAGTTTGTTAATTTTAATGTTGTTGTTTAATTAATTAGTAAGGCAATGAGCTAGTCAGTAATTTGCCTATTTAATTATATATGATTCGGTTAATCATTAAATACTGATAATAGTAATAGTTCATTAAAACTTGTTACAGAAAGATCGCCTTAAGCATACTCTATCAGAATTTGGTAATCTACATTTTTAAATGCATATAAAACTTGATAAAACTATAGTACTTTGTACAACAAGAGTGGATAATGTCAGATAATTGTCTTATGGCCGGTTTCTGGTACATTTCGGTATTAAAAGAATAACTATCGGTCCGATAAAGTTATATGTCCAATAAATTAAAGCGTTACTGAAAACTTATCTATAGATAATTATCGCTCGATAGCAATCCAGCATATATCTAAGTTTGACTTATTCTCACGAGATGGACTTCATTATTCTCGTGTTGTCTTTTTTATGTATCGGAAAATGGAAGGCGAATTCCAAAAACTTTACAGATGTCGATAAAGTAGGTATATATTATTCGAGATGGTTATTGAGCACAGATGTCATTAAAAATAAAAATACCGTTAGTACAAGTGTGAAAGAAAAAAAAATTACGTATGTTATGTTAATTAGTTCAGCCATGTATGTTTAGTAAATCTAAAACGGTCCCTATACTCTTTAAAAGGATCACTTCTAACGCGAAAATGGCGAACAATATCGATCATTTCTAATATTTCCTCGTAGAGGAGTTTAAATTATACATTATTAGTTTATTTATTCTTTTCCTGATATCTGAGAAACAATAATATATTTATTTTATAAGAAATTTCAAATTATAATCTGCTAACTGGCATGTGTCAGATAAGTACTTATCAAATACATATCTCACCAAAATCGCAATATATCTATTCGATGACTTATAGAACGGATAACTCTTGTTGTGCGTTTCAGAAACCAAATTTCTCTAGTTATCCCTTTGTTAAGGCTATCGAACATATATCTACTGTTTCAGAAACCGGCCATTAAATGGCGGAAGAGCCTTGAAATTATAGTAAAATATGTCGACAAACGTTCCTTTTTTATTATAGTGCAAATATTACAATTGTCAAATCAAATGGCTAAACGATTCATACATAAATTATGTATCAATATACAGGGTGTTTCAAAAAGGTATGTCATAAATTCTTCCACAGATAGATTATCAAAAAATAGGTGGATTTGGCTATATTTACCTATATCAAAAACTGGCTCCTAACAAAGTTACAGGGTGTTAAACTAACATTCAAAAAAACGGGTATCTTTTAACCCCCCCCCGTATTTTTTTTTGTCATAAAGAAACTTGCCTTATCGATCTAAAAATCAAAAAGAACTATGAATTTTAAATTTTTTTTTATAGCAAAATGAACTTTGTATCTTTCTTAGTTAACAAGCTATTTACAATTTTTTAACTACATATCTAGAGCAATTCGTCCGTCCTGGACTTAACATATCAACAAAACTAAGAGTAGGTCAGGAGTTATTGTACAAAAAACACATATAAAAATCAGTGATGTGCCTAGGGCTGTGCTTGAGCCGCCCCTGCAAAATCTATCTCTTTTATTTATATTTTTGTATTTAAGAAGGAGGAGGACATGTTAAACATTTACTAAATTAAATAGTTTATAAAATATGTATAATAATTATTGTCAAGTGTTTATTTATAATTGTTAATTTTTTGTCAATTGTTTAATTAAAAAATTTTTTTTTTAATTACTATTAAATTTAATAAATACATTTCCAAACTGACGTGTATTTTTATCAGTGGCATGGTAAACCAAGGGTGGCACATCATTTTTATGGCACCAATCCAATATTATAAATACCCTTTTTACAAAAATATAAATAAAAGAGGTAGTTTTGCAGGGGCGGCTCAAGCACAGCCCTAATACACACCACTGATTTTTATATGCGTTTTTTGTACAATAACTCCTGACCTACTCTTAGTTTTGTTGGTATGTTAAGTCCAGGACGGACGAATTGCTCTAGATATGCAGTTAAAAAATTGTAAATAACTCGTTAACTAAGAAAGATACAAAGTTTATTTTGCTATAAAAAAAAATTAAAAATTCATAGTTCTTTTTGATTTTTAGATCAATAAGGCAAGTTTTTTTATGACAAAAAAAATACGGGGGGTTGAAAGGTACCCAACCCCCCAACTTTTTTTAAAGGGGTCGCTTTAATTTTTTTTTTCTTGGAATATTGGGCCTTTAAATCTACAGCACTGGCCAAAATTTCAAAGAAAAATTCGCAACAGCAAATTTTTTACAAAAAAAAAATCGTTTTTTTGAATGTTAGTTTAACACCCTGTAACTTTGTTAGGAGCCAGTTTTTGATGTAGGTAAATATAGCCAAATTCACTTATTTTTAGGTAATCTATCTGTGCAGGAATTTATGACATACCTTTTTGAAACACCCTGTATATTTTGATGCCGCCGATGAAATTCGAGTCCTGTATTTCGAGCCTCACCTCATAACGGCCCGCCCGATAGCATAGGAATATACTGAAAACGGTTACGTCACACATACAAATGTTTACCCGAGGCTCAAAATTTGGTCGTGGCACCCTACAATGTTTCGTTTTTAGCGGGGCACTTACGTGATACACTGATACAAGACTAAGACACGAGTCACCACTGGATAATGTGATGATAATGTAATTTTGTACAATGTCACAAATTGTGAACGACACCAGAGGAAAACTCTTCAATTATCTGAGTACGATACGGACAGTTGGTGAGTATACTTTTTTTACGACCCTGTAAATAAAATTGTAAAATTTTTAAAATTAGTTTGACGTTATTAAGATAAAATAAACTATTTTAAAAATTATATTTAATACAAAGATCTTAAAGAGAGCCCAATGCCCAACGACAGGACAAACCTGGTATACAGACGGGTCTAAGACTGCGGAAGACACCGGGGCGGGAGTATTCTCCAAAAAATCTTATACTAACCATAGCTATGCTATAAAAATACATTCCTCGGTATTTTAGACCGAGGTATACGCAATTTTACAATGTGCAAAAACAAACAATGAAAGAGCTGTCGAAAATCAGCCTATTTAAATAATGTCAGACAGCCAAGTGGCACTTAAGGCCATATTGAGTCAGAAAGTTACGTCGAGGCTGGTATGGGAATGTATCGAAGAACTAAGAACACTGGCAGACCGAAATAGAGTAAAACTATTTTGGGTGCCAGGTCACCAAGGGATCGAAGGCAACGAAAAGGCTGACGAAAGAGGGTAAGAAGAAACACCGGAACCAGACACAAACCCAGGAGTACCAAAAAGTACAGTCCGGGGTTTTATAAACGACTGAAGTCGGGAACAACATATTAACTATTGGGGAAGCACCCCAAAACAGGCACATGGAAAAGCCTTTATAGGCAAACCATGTCCAAAAAGAACTGGAGAACTACTCTTTATGAATAGAAACCAGTTGAAAGTGATAACAGGGTTCATGACTGGGCACGCCCCAGTAAAGGGACACTTGAACAAAAATTGGCATGTACAATGGGGAACTCATTTGCCGACTATGTCACAAGGAGCCAGAAAGGGCCAAATACATACTGTGCGAATGCGAAGCTCTAGATCGCAAAAGACAGGTACTTTTTGGACAACCTCAGGTTGATCCAGCAACGTATAGAACCCACTCACCCAAGGATCTGTACAAACTTGTACAAGGTACAAAGGTGGCAGAGTAGGTGCTATAACCTAACATGGGGTAAAACACAATAAGCCAATAGGCTTCAGTGTTTCATCTTTCGAAGAATTATCTTCTGACTTACAAGGTACCCTATTAATATTATTGTTATTTATTTATTAATTATTCAGCGATTTATTAATTGTTTCATGTTATTACAGAGTCAGACGTCACTAACGAATAAAGTGAAGAAAAGGAAGATGAAGATGAGACTGATGCTGTTGACGAAGATGGTGAAGATTTTTCCAATGAATCTGATGTTTTTTGTTTGTTGATATAAAAAACGCAGATTTTTTATGTACATTGGAAAATAAAGTTATTTTAATTTCAAGAAATATGTTGTCACATTATGCTGTGTTACAAATAGGAAAACGAAAATAACAATTCCTGTAGGCCTAGCAATACATACCTGTTTTTTGTAGGACATTGTTTTATTTCGACGAAAACATACTAATGTATCACATAATAACTTTGGTCCTACAGTTACTAATAAAAAAATACGTGAGGCACTCGGGGACTGCCGCGGTAAAGCTATTGCATAGCATATTTGATCAACTTATGCAAATATAATTATTTATTTATTTTATGCAGTATTTTTTTCTTTGATATTAATTAAGTTTTTTCTTTGATATTAATTTAAGTTACACTTTTTGAGCGTGGTGACCGATAAGAAAACAAATTTTTTTTTCCTATTGAATAAATGAGAAGTTAATATTGTTTAAAATATTTTTATTATCTTACAATACATGTAGGTTATTCAGGAATGTTATCATTGAAACTATAGGTTTATGGTAACTGAAATAAGAAACAAGTTTGAGACTTGATATCATCTAAATATCTGGAAAATACCGCGTCAATGGTGGTCCCATATTTTGTTGTGGATTCTTGTGGATCATTATTCATTTTCAAATTCAATTTTTCCGAAATTGTGTCTAAAAGAGATAGAATCAGTTATGAGCACTTAGCAGCTAGTCTACACGCATACGTCTAGTCGCACGCGTGCCGAAGTCTGCCGAAATAAAACGACGTTAGACGATGCACGGCTTTCAACGCCGCACCGCTGTGCCTGTCGGAGTGGGGGGTGTTAGGTTTATTTTCGGTACGGAATTTCTTTTTCGATTTTTCTTTTATTCGATTTTTCGATTTTTCGATTTTTAGATTTTTCGATTTTTCGATTTTTCGATTTTTCGATTTTTCGATTTTTCGATTTTTCGATTTTTCGATTTTTCGATTTTTCGATTTTTCGATTTTTCGATTTTTCGATTTTTCGATTTTTCGTTTTTTTGATTTTTCGATTTTTCGATTTTTCGATTTTTCGATTTTTCGATTTTTCGATTTTTCGATTTTTCGATTTTTCGATTTTTCGATTTTTCGATTTTTCGATTTTTCGATTTTTCGATTTTTCGATTTTTCGATTTTTCGATTTTTTGATTTTTCGATTTTTCGATTTTTCGATTTTTCGATTTTTCGATTTTTCGATTTTTCGATTTTTCGATTTTTCGATTTTTCGATTTTTCGATTTTTTGATTTTTCGATTTTTCGATTTTTCGATTTTTCGATTTTTCGATATTTCGATTTTTCGATTTTTCGATTTTTCGATTTTTCGATTTTTCGATTTTTCGATTTTTCGATTTTTCGATTTTTCGATTTTTCGATTTACCGATTTATCGATTTATCGATTTATCGATTTTTCGATTTTTCGATTTTTTGATTTTCGATTTTTCGATTTTTCGATTTTTCGATTTTTCGATTTTTCGATTTTTCGATTTTTCGATTTTTCGATTTTTCGATTTTTCGATTTTTCGATTTTTCGATTTTTCGATTTTTCGATTTTTCGATTTTTCGATTTTTCGATTTTTCGATTTTTCGATTTTTCGATTTTTCGATTTTTCGATTTTTCGATTTTTCGATTTTTCGATTTTTCGATTTTTCGATTTTTCGATTTTTCGATTTTTCGATTTTTCGATTTTTCGATTTTTCGATTTTTCGATTTTTCGATTTTTCGATTTTTCGATTTTTCGATTTTTCGATTTTTCGATTTTTCGATTTTTCGATTTTTCGATTTTTCGATTTTTCGATTTTTTGATTTTTCGATTTTTCGATTTTTCGATTTTTCGATTTTTCGATTTTTCGATTTTTCGATTTTTCGATTTTTCGATTTTTTGATTTTTTGATTTTTCGATTTTTTGATTTTTCGATTTTTCGATTTTTTGATTTTTCGATTTTTAGATTTTTAGATTTTTAGATTTTTCGATTTTTCGATTTTTCGATTTTTTGATTTTTCGATTTTTCGATTTTTCGATTTTTCGATTTTTCGATTTTTCGATTTTTCGATTTTTCGATTTTTCGATTTTTCGATTTTTCGATTTTTCGATTTTTCGATTTTTCGATTTTTCGATTTTTCGATTTTTCGATTTTTCGATTTTTCGATTTTTCGATTTTTCGATTTTTCGATTTTTCGATTTTTCGATTTTTCGATTTTTCGATTTTTCGATTTTTCGATTTTTCGATTTTTCGATTTTTCGATTTTTCGATTTTTCGATTTTTCGATTTTTTGATTTTTCGAATTTTCGATTTTTCGCCGGTCGGAGTGGGGGTGTTAAGTTTTTTTTCGTTACAGATTACGGAATTTCTTGATTCGATCGCCGCGCTCAAAGCACGCGATAAAAGCTATGCAATAGCTTAAAAATTGTCTTGTGGCATTGGCAGCTTTTGATCATAGGACCAGGATGTCGTACCACGTAATTTGTAGGACAATGTGGGTGTTCAATTATAATAATATTAACTAACCAATAGAAAAAAAAGTCAGCTGATTAGTAATTATTTTTCATGACCTTGTTAATTATACATGTTGGAGAGAGAGGACTCTTTGATAAAACCTTAAATTTTGTAGGACAAATATTTCCTCGGTTTATTTAGATAATTATCTTGGAAATTAACAAGGAAAAATTCAGTTAGTAATAAATTTTTGAAATTCGTCAAATCAACGTATTTCACCCCCGCTACCCCTGTTAGCTACCGTTTACCAAAATTGTAGTAAGGAAAAAAGTTGGGCGTCTCGTCAAAATGTAGCTACTCACAAAAAATCTGCTTGTTAGTAATCATGGGTGAAAATGGGCCTGGGATCCCGGACTATAAGTTTCACACGAATACAATATTTTCTAGTATTCATAAAATTATTGTTTTGTTAACTGTAAATATTGTTCAAACAGAGTTATAAATGCCAATGTATATATTTGTAAGAATAACAAAACTTTTCTTAATTTCACTTTCAAATCAACTTTTTAGCTTTCAGAATCCAAATAACCAAACACTCTGGTGTTTTCTTGAGCCTTTAATGCAAATGGAAACGGGAAAGAAAGTTTTAATTTTCACTTCGCGCTTGAAAAGGTTTTTTAAAAAGAAACGTTTTTAATTAAATTAAGAATTGCATTCGGAATAGTATTACATGCATTTTTGAGATTCAGTTCTCTGGAAAATGCAAAACCGACGAAATTGTAGTAGTTTCTTTTGGAGCTTTTTTGTCCAACAAACAAACAGAATGTATTAAATTTAACAAGAATGTTGGCACTGCTACTCAAAGCAACTTAAAAAAGACGAAATAGATAAAAAAGAAAATTAATTTAAGTAATTGTAAGAAGTTAATTAAGATTTATTTATTAGCTATTTATAAAATCATTTACGAAATGCCTTATTTTATCTAACGGGTGAATATTTGTGTTTTATTTTTTGCAGATTAAGAATGGAAAATAAGGACAAGAACAAATTATTAGTGGATTGTAAGTTCACTACTCAAATTCTATTTATATGTAGCCAACGTGACCTCTTTTAATATAAACTTTTAATACGAATGTATATATTAATTTTAAAACCAAAGGTTTATTTTTATCTCTTTTCGTAACTGGTGACATAATGAATTTTTAGTAACCAGTATCATAATATTTAACTTTATGCGTTTCGTAAAGTAGATCGTTTTAACATTTGCTGCGATTACAAAAGATGTCACTTTTTATGTCAAAATTAGAAAATACTAATTTATGCAATTAGCCTTATAATTTCTAACGAGTGAATATTTGCGAGACGAGCAGAGCGAGGTCCCGCAACATGAACGACTTACAAAAACGGTATTTTGTAACATGTTACATTCAATATTTTTTCTAATTTTGACTAGATGATTACTAACACTTACTCAACCAATATTATTTTCATGTATTGTTATATGCATGTCTAAATTTGAAAAAATATATTAAATTATTTTCGATCAATTTATCTAATATTATTCATCAAGAAAAATTTGAAATTGCTCTTTATACCTTATTCAGAAAGTGTTTATTTCAACAAGTCTATTGACTGACGCGGCGATCCAATTGTAAAAATTTTTTCCCTGCCTGATCGATATGTTGAGTTAACGGTGCTTTCTTTTGCCTCGCAATTCCACAAGAAGCGACTGACAATTATCGACAAACCGTCAAGTATTGTACTTTAATCACACGCTCCAATTCCAGAACTATATATCTACATTTTCTATTACACAATAATTTGTAATTATAGTAATGTATTAGATAAAGTAAAAAAAAAATTAATATATTTAAAATGAAACCATTAAAATTTATTCAAATATAATAGAACACAGAGTATGGCAAAACTATGGTCTACATTAGGTTTATATGGTTATTTTTGTATAAAATACACAGTTTGTAAGTAAAAAATAGGATACGTATTAAAACTAAAGAAATATTTTTTTCATACTTATTAAGGCTATTTAAATTATTTATATTTAAAATATTGACCACATCATATTTCTTTTTTGTTTAAATAATATAAAAAAATAACTTTAAAAGAAAACATTGTGTTATAATGAGGTTTATATAACACTAAATGTTGGATATACATCCAACATATTTCATTCAATACACCAGACTAGCCCAGCTCTGAGTGCCAAATCAGTTACTCTATTACTAATTAAACAATTAATAATCCAAATATTAAAAATAATGCGTCCCTGCAACTGTCTATGATAAATTTGGCTATTATTCATTAGATTTTAAAAGTTTTAAATTTATTTATATACCTATTAGTATTTGGTTTGATTTTAATATAGAGTCAAAAAAAGTGTTTATAAAGAATTTTTATTATAATTAAATTTATGTCTGATATATTATATATGACTGACTCTTTTATTAATTTTCAAAGCCATTCTTGGGTGTAACTACAATATTAATTTTAAAAACGAGCAATTATTTGCCAATAATAAATAATTTCAAGTTCTAGGAGC